ACTGCGTCTGTGGAAAGTGCCAGTGTTTGCCACAGTACCAAGGGCCGACCTGTGAGGACTGCCCTGTTTGTGTAGCACATTAAGACGAACACGTGAGACTGGATATTTATTTACTTCTTATACCGTACGATGTTTTGCAGACAATATCATTACAAGAAAGTGAAGATATAGAAACACACCATCATCTGAACACTTTATAGACAAGAGAAGCAAGACTGCTTTAACACCGTATCCTCTATTTGTCTTCCACAAACTCTTCACAGAGCCAACATTGTGAAATTTTAACTTTAGTTAAAACTGTTTGCTAGACTTTCTGTATCACTGCTGGTTATGATGAATGAGCAGAGTGTGCATCTCCTCCTCTGAGTATAGTTCTTGAACTGACTGTGCCTTCTCATTCGTCATCAGGTGTGACAGAAAGTGTGGCTACCTCATCGTGACAACGGTGGAGATAAAATACGATGTGCTGAGAGAACAAGTCATTCATTCTGTAAAATGATGAACCATGATGGTTCCAGAGGATGATAGATTGTAGGTCGGACTAACATACATATGATAACAGGATTTTTACTTTTCAAAAACATGATAAAGATCATCTCATTTTGATTGAAAGCCACATCTGAAAAATTAAACTCCAGTTTTTCTGCTCAGGTGCGGCTCATGCTACGCCTCCTGTGGTGTAAGTGGAGCGTGGCAGACAAAAGAAAAAGAAATAAAACATACCTCCATTCGTAAAATAATGCAGTTATTTCTAGCAGTGAGGCTGGTAGTGTGTTGGAAGCGTAGGTCTCTGGCTTGAAGACTTAACTCCTGGCAAAGCTCTGTCTTCTTTTTTTCTTGAAGAGAAAAACAAATAAGGAGGAGCAGAGGCACACATGTACATATAGTTGGGCCAATCTCTACACATGAAGTAGAGGTTGAAATACAACTGATTTTTACTCCTGGATAACAGAAGTGAGTCACTGGTGGTAACACAACCCATTAGTGGCTGCTGCACTGGGGAAGTAACACAGAAACACAGCAGTGATGGACAAAAACGTGGTGCATGTCCAGTTCTACACATAATAAAAAGGATACGGAAGAGTACTTCAGGGACATGTTTAAAAAAAAAGAAAAAAGAAAGATTCCTATGCTCTGTCACAATGCCAGAGATAAGAGACAATCATCAGTCTCAGTGCCAACGACCACAACAACATGTAAACGTTAATGAGGTTAATTTCCTCACACTTACCAAATGATGTCACATTTCCCTCTTGGTCAAACTTCATCTGTCAAAGAAAGAAAACATGAAGCTGATTGGTTACATCAAGCAACCACATCTTCACTGCATTTTTGCACAGCGTTGAAACACAATTGTGTGAAATGTAAATAATAACAATAAATTACTTGAGCATTGCAAATGCTATGCTTATTTGTTTTTTTAAATATCTATCCATCTCCACACACACGGCTGATCAAATGACAAGTTTGTTTGTTACTGTTGGGTTTTTTGTTTTTGTTTTTTATAATAAAACCTTATTTTTGATGCCAGCACCAAAATAATAAACAAACAAACAAATAAATAATGGTGTAAGCTGATGACAGGTCAGTAACCTCACAGGTGCTGAGTGTTTCTAAGGTAAAGATGGGGAGGATGTATGTTAAATTATAAATGCATGAATGAAATCTACAGGTTTTGTAAACAAAATAATAAGATATTATTTATTGCAGCAAGACAAAGTGACAAACCACATCCCAAAACCTTTCAAGTAGTATTAGCAACTATTAATTAATGACTGCTTAAATTTATTTCTCTCTTACCACTACAAATGCCGGAGCTACAGTGGAAGGAGGGGCGTCTGAGACTCTTCTGCAGATAAAGGACACTGTTCAAAGAAAAGACCAAGTTAAACCATGT